GGAGCGGGGGGAGAACGGGGGGCAGGCGCCGGTGAGGGGAACAAGGACAATGAACCGGGCCCGCGGCAGAGGCTGCGGCGGAGGGGCCGGGCCGAGGCCTCGCGCCCGCCCGTGCGGGCCCCCGGGCGCGGTCCCCCCGCCCTCTGCGCTCCCCCCGGCGCGCCCCGGCCCCGCCGCTCCCCCCGGACCCCGCAACCGTCCCCGCAGCGCCGCGGCCCCGCCGCCGGGACCCGCGGGACCCGGATGGAATCGCGACCGCTCCGCCGCCGCTCCCGCGGCACCACGGGAAGGGCACCGCGCCCCGCCCGCCGCGCGCCCGTCCATCACCCGCCGCATCCGGCGCCCATTGGCTGAGTCACGCTGGGGTCCCGCCCCCGCGCGGCTCTCTCGCTTCTGGTTGGCCAGCGGCGAGCGGGGCTCCGCCCCCCTCCGCCATTTATTTCGGGCGCGTTCGGTGGCGGCTCCGTAATGGCGCCCCCGGCGGCCGCCGCGCCCGCCCCGCCCGGGCCGCGCCCGCCCCGCCCCGCCCCCCTCAGCGCGGGCCGTGTGGGCCCGGCCGGGCTGTGCCCCGCGGGCTGTGCGCCATTGGCACCGCTGCCCCCCCGTAGGGGCGTCGGGGACCCCGTGGCCCATCGCACAGCACCCTGAAGGCATCAAGGGTGGAGGAGACCTTTAAGATCACCCAGTGTGACCGTCACCCCGCACTGCCGCTGTGACTCCTAAACCCCTAACCCGCATCCCCCCGCGCCAGATCCAGACGCCTCCTAAACGCCCCCAGGGATGGTGACTCCACCGCCTCCCTGGGCAGCCCTTCCAGTGCTTGACACCCAAACAGTGAACATTTTTTCTGTATCCGATCTGAATCTCCCCTGGCTCAGTTTAAGGCCATTTCACCTTGTCCTCTCACTGCGGGCGCGGCAGAAGAGCCCAGTCCCCCCGCCTACCCCTCCTGTCAGCTGCAGAGAGCGATGGGGTCCCTGCGAGCCTCCTGCAGACTAAACGAGCCCAGCTCCCTTCACTGCAACCCCCGGGAGCTGCTGAAGGAATGAGTTTGTTCTGCTCCTCGATGGGGGGGAAGTGTCTTTTCCATCCAGCACCCTCGTTAGTGATTCCACTTTCCAAGTCACTGACTTTGCTGCTTGGCACTGGAAATTGCCAAAAAAAAAGCTCCAGTTTGTTGCTGAGGCTCTGTCTTGAATTAATGTGTTTTTGACAAAGTTTGTCAGTATTTTTCTCTCTGCCTCTGCATTTGGGGGCTATCCTCTGTTCCTTCAGCAATCTAACCTGGAAGTGTTATGTTAGTGCCTTGTTACTTGATCAAAATACCTTTTCTGGTTATATTTCTGATTGGGTTTTTTAAGGTTTTGGGAGGGTCTGTAAGGAGCATCAGAGCCTTTCAGAGGAGGAGGAGTGGTCCTTCAGCTCCTTAGTGTGTCTGCAATATCACAGTCTTCAGGAGTAACAGGAAGCTCGAGGATAGAAATGTTGTGTTTAAAATCAAACTTCAAACACAGCATTTGTTTTCTGTGTCTCTTAATTTCATAAGATTTTCGGGAACTTGTGAATAAAATAAAATATCTAAATAAATAAATAAAAATGTGTGAATGTACAGATTAGTCTTGTCAGACTTTTCTGTTTTCTTTTGAGAAATGTTTGAAATAAAGATTCGTCAGTTCATAATGATTTTGTAAAAGTTTATAGAGTTGGAATGACGAGGTTCTTGTGCGTCTGGTGTCCTGTCTTACTTCAAAATAGTAATTTTTATCACAAATTCAAGAAGGGAACTTGTGCCTTAGTGCTCATGAGAGCAACGAGCAAATCAAACAATGACCCAGCTACTGACTGGATAAGGCAGACGCTTTGCATGTTGAACGAACTAAATCATGGTGCCTCAACAGCTACAATGCAGTTTTTATCCTTGTGCAGGTGAAGCTCTATGAAATAACTTGGTCCGGGTGCTAAATTACCTGTTAATCTTTCCTGTCAGGTGTAATTTGACTCGTTTTCTGACGAATGCAGATGCTACAGGGTGAGAAACTTCTGTCGGGTGTGTGCCAGGTACAGGCGAGAAGCGCTCGGTGGCTCCTGCACTTCCACAGTAGGTCACCAGGTGGGGTTTGAAGACCCCAGAAAAGACGCCTGAGCAAGTAAAACATTCAGCACTGAAATACCACCTAACTGCTGCAGTCTGCTCAGGCACTGCCAATAGCAAGAATCGCCTGGAAGCAGCAGTTATTAAAGGTTATTTTCCAGAAGTCCTGCTCACAAAGTTTGCAAGAGGCAGCAGTAAATCCAAGGGCTCGTGTTTGGTGATGTGCAGGCTCTGCTGCCTGCAGGGAGCGTTGCTGGAGGGCTGCCTTTGCCAGAGTGCTGCAATAAAGAAGTCAATCCCAGCCATCAGATAAATGAGGAGGGGTACAAAAGTATTCAGTATGATGTAGAAAAAATACGTCATTTTGATTTAGTTGATATTTAGGTTAATAAGATTTGAAGTATGGTGAAATATGGCACAAGTATCTCTACAGACAGACCATTCAAATGTATTTTGTAATTTGAAGACTCATGAGTATCCCCTGCCCGTGCTTTGCCTCTTGAGTGTAGAGAGTTTACCCTAAACCAGCGGGGATTGCAATATTTAGTCTGAAATACAGAACTGAGACAACAGAGAGATCTTACAGTTTCTGCTAACATGTAAAAAGTGAGGGTTTGGTTGGGGTTTTTTCATATTCAAAGGCATGTCCTGAAGGCATTATGACAATCCAGTCCTGAAGATTTTACTCCACGAGGTCAATAAATTTACTTGCATGCTAGAAATGGAGCAGAGATGTCTTCAGTTCCCACTGGGTTTTTTTGCCTCCGTAAAGACTTGAGGACATTTTGAAATGCTCTGTATCAGCATTTGGTGGCACAATCTATCCCTAATAAAAGCCCTCCCAGTGGACTTGGCTCTTCCAGAAGTCTGTAAAATGTGGACATTCTCCTGCTGAAACACCTTAGTCTTGACTTCAGCTGCTTTTGAGTGATTAATGCTCAGAGATGTCGAACCAATCCAACCACTAATTAGTTACTCTAATTAGAAGCACTTTTCATCTCAACACAAGGGAAGTTCTTTGTGGTGGGAAATTATTAATTTTTCGTTTAGAATTATGTCTTTTGGTTTTGTTCACTCATTTCAACTCATGGTTTCATTACCTTGTACTGAAAGATGCTGCAAAAAAAAATCTGCCTAAGCCTTGTTAGCAATATTCCTTTTGTTATCATTAGCATCTTTCAAATGCATTTTTTAAAGACTGGAATAACTCAACGTCATTGAAAGCTAACATGGCATCTGCTTTAGGAACTTGAAGTATCTGCTTCTGTCAGGTAATGAAGTAGATTAAAGGCTTATGTGTCCAGTGCTGAAAGTCTACAACAGGTGTAATCCTTTGCTGGGAGTAAGGCTTGCATAGTTACTAAGACAGTAGCACTTGGCTGCTGCTTTTAGCCAGGGATATAGAAACCAAGTAAGTAATTCCTCATCTTCCCTGAAATACATCATGTGTTGTACCAGCAGCCATGAAATTAGAGTTAATAGATTAATAACTAAAGGAAAACCAAGTAACTGGACAAGTGTAATCATGAACAGATGGATAAGGCTGCACGTGCACACTCACAGTGATCAGATGTTGCCCTTTGGGGATGTTAGGACCTGGCTGTCCTATCAGGTATGTTCCCCCTTTTGTTGTATCCAGCCCACTCGCAGTTATCTGCGGACTTGACTCAAACTTTGGTTGGGGCAGAGCTGGTCAGGTCTATGCTCTGCTTACTTGGGATATTCCTGCTCCATGGCAATGCAGATTTGGCATTTAGGTCTCAGACATACATAAGTTTTCCTAAGTGTAGCAAACTTTGGTCACTTAGGTAGAAATCAGGAGCAAAGCCAGCAAGCTCCTGGCCAGTACTAAGGAGAGTTGTTTTTCCCCCCATCTTTCTGATTCAAGACCTATCCCAGAGAAAGCCATAGGAATACATCTCACACTTGAATTACAGGAATAGAATGAAAAATGTCTGCTTGAATGCTGAGTATGATTGAAGCATAGCAAGAGTTTTCCAGCCCCTGGTACATTTAGAAAACCTCTTGTAATCTTTGTGTTTCACCAGCAGCCTACTGCTGTTCTTATCTGTATTCCCTCTAACTTTTCCATACACTACTGGTGTTTAATACATCCCTTTGCCTGCAGTAGAGCTTGTTATCTCTTTCCAAGGATGGCATTTCTCCGTTCCAATCACTGGAAGCCCATGGCTGCCGGAATGCAAATGCTATTGCGACCGCCAAGGGAACTGGGAGCCTGAGTTGCAATAGAGGGACACCCAGCCTTTTGCCTTTAATGTCGTGGCAGTCCAGTCAGCAATGGATGAATTCCTTGCTGCTGTTGGCGAACCCTTGTGCTGGTACCAAGGTGCCATCCCTTGGATGGAGCAGGCAGGGAGGGATCACAGGCCCACGGTGCTGGCGTTGCTGCAGCTGCCCTGATTGCCTGCCTTGGCTTATTTTTATGAATTACGGCATCAAGTCCTTCCCTGTTTCACTATGGGCCACCCCCCAGCCCTGAGTGCACAGCACACATTCGGTGTCGGTGTGGCGGGGGAAGAGCTGGCAGGTGCTGCCGGCAAGAGCGGGAATCACCGACAGGAGTTGAATGTTGGAGCTGGCATTGCTATTGCAGTAGAGCCATGAAACGTCTCACTTGTGCAATGTCATACAAATCAGTTCTCATGCCAACAAGTAGACCGGACAGAGCTGTGTGGTGGGATGTGCTCCCCTGGCTGGGAGGGCAGCTCCTGAGATTTGTCCCCGCACAATCCCACCCAGACAGTGAGGTCACAGCAGGGTTGTGAGGTCACAGCAGGGCTGTGAGGTCACAGCAGGGCTGTGAGGTCACAGCAGGGCTGTGAGGTCACAGAGCCCCGTGGTCCCACAGCACAACAATGACCGACCACTCAGTCCCTGACCACAACTGTGGCAGCGGCAGCGGCGGCGTTTGGACAAAAATTACCGGACAGAGATTACTGGACAGTGATTTCTGGACAGTGATTACTGGACAGTGATTTCTGGACAGAGATTGTACAGCAGCGGTTTCAGGGCAGTGGTTTCAGGACAGCGGTGTCAGGACAGGGGTGTCAGGACAGCGGCGACAGCAGTAGCTGCCGGACGGTGTGAGGGCGAGGGGCCATGGCCCTTGCTCTCCGCCTCTCCCTCCTCCTCCTCCTGGCAGTGGCCCTGCACGCCAGGGCTGCCCAGGCTGCTCCGGTGCCAGCGCGGGGAGCAGGTGAGCCGGCGGCCTGGGGCACCTTTCCCGGCCAGCGGGCTCTTCTCCCCGGGAAGCGTCTGGGATGGTTTTCCCCTCTGCAGCTCTGGCCATGTCCATTGATATCTGGCCCCCACGGCGCTCCCCAAACTCCTTGCAGTGCCACAGTTCTCTGAGGCAGGAGGGGATCCCAGCATGCCATGGAAATGATTCCCATCTCTGTTTGCTTATAGATGAGGGTGCTGGGAATTCTTTTTCAGCAGCTTGGCTAGAAGGTGGCTTGGACTCCTTGGGGCCTCCCGCAGGTAATTCTCAATGACTGCTCAAACAATAATCATTGACAACATGGCAAGAGCCAGATGACAGAAGCTTCTTTGGCTGTTGAGTTACAGGAGTGTCCTCAGGGAGGACCTTTCCAGCTTCTGGGCTGGTTCCTCCACACAAAGCTGGCTCACATCGTAGAGGTAAGAAGTCTGTCCCTGCTGAACTCACAGGCTAAGCTCTGGTTTTCTCTAATCCATTCATGTCAAATGGAACTGCTTCCCATTCAGGTCCTCCAAGAGGCAGAAACCGATCTCCAGGAGACAAACCATCCCAGGAGGCACTGGAACTTCTGGACCAAATGCTGAGTAAATTGCAGAGACGGAGAGGTGGGTCTGTTTCCTCATCCTGAGCCGTGAGAGTCATCAGCTGGGGGCTTTATATCCACGTGTGGACAGGCAGTGGCTGCACAATGGGAAGGGATCCATCACTGCCCTGCTGCTGCTTTTATGTCCCCAAGGTCCCTCCCACTGCAGCTGCTCCCAGAGCTGGCCCTGAGTCTCGAGAGGCCCAAGGCACCAGAGCAGCCCAGAGCGGGATCCCTCCC